ACATAGGTTGGCAGAGAAGGAAAACTGGGAATGAACATGCTTCATATAGAGAACCTTCTTAAGAGACTGAAAGCTAAATTAGTGAGATGTCAGCATATGTTTCAAGTACTTAATTGAAGCAGGACAGGAAGATCTATGGCCCATATGTAATGTTTTTCAAATCACAATGTATATCATCAAATTCACTCTTCACTCTTCACTCTTTTCTGTGGTTTCATGAACAGTATCTTAGTTTTGTTGTTGGTGGTGGTGGTTTTTTGTTTGTTTTGTTAGGGGTTTTTTGTTTGTTTGTTTTGTTTTGTTTTGTTTGCTTTACCCTGTAGCTCTTTTTAAGTTCAGATGAGCTTAGAAATCAATCCACTATTGAAAGTCAGTGTCTGATCCTATAAGCAGCTGCTCAGTGGAGTTCCTGTTGACCTTACTGACTCAATTCTGTCAATAACTGAGCTTCTACTGATTTTTTTGAATCACAGGTTTTGTGACTATGAGGTAACTCATAGTGCCTCTCTGAAGCGCACTGGTATTGTAGATCAGTATCCTGTGTAGCAAATCTAAGTAATTTTTAATAGGGTTATTCTGGAACAATATAATTTTCATAACTTAGCAAACACAGTGTCTAGAATGACTGTGACAGATACTTACATCGTTGAGGAGAATAAATTAAAAGTCCCCTTGTAGCCTTTTGCTCTGACAATGAAACAAATCTGTAGATTGAATTATTATTATTCTACGCTAGTATTGATGACCAGAAACTTTCTCCATATCAGACATGTAATTCTGGAGAGACAACTCATCTTCTTACATGGTTCTAGGGGTCTGTGCTAACATCAAGTCAACCTAATCTATTACCTAGCTGTGAGATTGAATAGGACTCTGAAGATAATCAATAATGGAATACTTCTATATAAGTACTAGATCTCAAGCAGCTGAATGTATTTCAGAACAATCTCTAGGCTGATCTCGTCTGCAGTGGGGTTTATGTCTATACTAGTATTAGAAGGCTAAAAAAGTGGCAAAAAGTTTATTTGCCTCAATTTTCAGTTATAAGGACGTTTCAACTTCAACTATAAGTAAAAGGAACAAAGCATGTTTTAAGATCATTGTGGTATATATTTAATATCCAGAAAATCAGAGTTCCTGAGGGAATGGATTCAAGTTTATATTAGAACCTCTCTTTCCTGTTGAGAACCTATGTCTCTTAGGATGCTTAAGCCTTCAGTTGGCACTTCCAGTGGCATTAGCAGACATTTTCTCAGTAGCGTCTGCAGGGTGATATCCATTGTCTTTCAGAATCATTATTTTCTCAGGCACTCAATTCTTAAGCAAGATGAACTATGAAAACTCTTTTGAACATGGTAAATTTGGACATTCCTGCTTGCTTTTAAAAAGTTGTTGATAGTCTTAGTCATGAGAACTGACCAAACTGGCTCTCTACTTATCTTTAAAGCACACATCATAATGTCACACAGTCACAAATACTAGAAATGCTTGAATATGCCGACAATAGTCAATGTTCCCTGTAGCTTTCAGCTAAAAAGCAGTTATCAAAACCACTCTATTAAATGTTCTGGCATTAATCTAGGAGATTAACTAATGTGGAAAGATACAAATGAATTGGTTTCTGTCTGCAATATTTTGCCAGATGAGTACGTTGGAAGAGTGTTTTATTTTACAGCTTCCCTTACACAGGGCATCTTTGTACTGAATGTAATAGAGCCTGACATCTGAATCCACTTTGTTCCTAGTAGTGCTGTGGTATCAGGTAGCTGTAGCCATCTCCTGGTTACCATCGGGTGAAACCCAGAGCGACTTCTTTCAGCAGCTGAACTCCACCCGACAAAAGCATTCTTGCCCACTCAGGCTTTTGTCCCTGTCGAGGCTGATCTCAGCAGGCTCTTTCACAAAAGGCATCCCGCAGAGAGAGGCAACAAAAACTGCTCCTGCCAATCCTGGTTAACAATCATCCTGCATGTTTTGGTTGCTCCCGTTCAGATTGCTACTTGTTATCAGTAAAACCTTTTCCATTTCAGCAGTGCATGGAGTGATAGCAGCCATTGTCGCAGAAGTCGGGTGTGGTGTGAACCCCTAGTAGTGGTGGTATTGTAGGACTCAGTCCTTGTAGGGTGTCATTGCAGGCATAGCTGGTATACGCTGAAAGGGTCTTGACTTGCTTCTTGTATTTCTTAGTGTGACCAGAGTTTCTCTAATGGGAAAGTGCTTTTGCAGGTGCTGAAGGAGACATATTAGGAGATATGCTCAAGAAATGTATAGGAAAGATAATAATTCCTCTTTATTAATTATGTCATGACAGCAGGGTCATGACAGGACCACTGTGTGTGAGACTGTATACAGATATATTTTTCCTCAGCAACATTGTGATCTGAGCAGAAAAATAGTTAAAATGTTCAAAAAAACTATTGGAAAATGTTCAAGATGTATTTCTTCTCTTTCTTTCCATCCTCCCTAGTGCTCACATGATATATCACTTGTACTGATTCTCTCTCAGATATCCCAGCCAAACTGCTCCTTCTTTGCTTCTCCAGTTAAACTAGTCTTTCCCCTGTTTCACTGGGTTCGCAGAGTAGGAAGGAGATAGAATTAGGAAGCAGGGATCTAAGGGTGCTTACAGAAGTGTCTTTAGGTATCATCAGTGGGCCTTGCCTGGAGATGACTGATATGGTCTGGCAACTCTGTGACTTACCGAAAGATCCAGACTGTCCCCGCTCATAAATCCTTCTATGGACTTCCTTTGTGGGAAGGATAAATAGTGCATTAGAATTTAATTGGAATGAGAAACAGATGATCCAGTCAAAGATCAAGACAGACAGGTCATTTAAATGTTTGTCTTCTATAAACTAATTTGAAGAACTGCTGCTTACAACATCCATTCCTCATTGAGCTATCATGAAGGAATCTTAGCTATTTATCACATTCTCCTGGCAAAGACTTTATCAATGGGTGATGGATGTGACAGGCAACAAGCTAGACATCACAATAATTCTT